GTCTGATGATGGTTTCATCAACGGGGTTATTCAAAATCAAGGATGGTTTCGGTATGCAACAATGCTGAGAGGTCATGTTTATCCTAACCTCTTAAAGAACATGAGGTTATTGCTCCATATACTCCTCAGTACAACGGTCTTGCTTAAAGAAGAAACAAAACTTTTCTTGATATGACCAGAAGTATGTTGAAAGAGAAGAAGTTACCTCACATGTTATGGGGAGAAGTTGTTACCACATCAGCATATGTTATGAATAGGTGTCCAATAAAGAAGCTGAAGGAAATTGTTCCCTTAGAAAAATAGACTGGAGACAAGCAAAGTGTTAGCCATCTGAAGGTGTTTGGTTCTGTATGCTACAAACACGTTCCAGAGGCTAGAAGACGAAAACTGGATGATAGAAGCAAAGCAATGTTACTGGTGGGGTAACACAATACAGGTGCCTATAAGCTTTATTGTCCAGAAACCAACAAAGTTGAAATCAGCAGAGACGTAATTGTGAAAGAGTCAGAAACATGGGATTGGAACAAGCTTCAATCAGATTCTGGTGTAGCGCCAACACCAGGTTTAGTTTCTGAAGATTCTTCAGAAAGTTCTGAAGACGAGTCAGAGTCAAAAGATGAAGACTCTGAAGATTAGTCAGAATCTCTGGGAGATTCTGATAGTGGATCTAATTCTAATCCAGATTCTGATGATGATCCAGAATCTTGTGGTGATTATACTTCTGGAAGGGAAAACTCTGAAGACATGGGTTCTGGAGAACAAGTTTCCAGAAGTAACTCTGAAGGTGAGTCTAGAGAAGATTTTGCTTCTGAAGAAGAGTTAGAAGATGATGACTATGGAAACTCTGAAGGTGAGTCAGATGGTGAATCTGATTCAGATCCAGATTTTGATGATGATCCAGAATTCGATGGTGATCATGCTTATGGAAGGGAAAACTCTAAAGACGTAGGTTCTGGAGGACAAGCTTCTAAAGATGATCAAGTTTATGGAGGAAATCATGACTTTTAGGTTGGACCTTCTGAAGGAGGAGCCTCTGAAGAAAATTCATCCTTTAAGGATGATCATGATTCTAAAAGTGGAGCTTCTGAAGACAGAGGTGATCCAATTTTTAAAGATGCTATTTTTGAAGGTAGTGGCTCTGACTCCGATGGTGATCCAGACTCTGAAGGGGAAAGTTCTGGAGAAAGTCCAACTGCTGAAGCAAGTGCTTCTGAAAGGGAAAGCTCTGGTGTCCAAGGTTCTGAAGGTCTATTACAGGAAGAAGTTTATGTGTCACAACCTCCTGGACTTGTAAAAAAGAATTAGGAAGGGATGGTATACAGGTTAAATAAAGCTCTGTATGGACTGAAGCAAGTGCCTAGAGCTTGGAATCTGAAAATTGATTCATTTTTCAAGAAGCAGAGGTTTCAGAAGTGTGAGATGGAATATGGAGTTTTGTTTCCTTCTGAAAGAAAGACAAAGTCAGAATTAATAAGTTATTCTGATTCTAACTGGTGCGAAGATAGAATGGACAGGAGAAGTACTTTTGGATACTTTTTTAGATTTCTGGGAGGTCCAATTTCCTAGAGTTTCAAGAAACATCTTGTCGTGGCTCTGTCAACATGTGAAGCTGAGTATATCGCAGGCACTGTAGCTGCTTGTCAAGCAGTTTGGCTTCTGAATATCCTGCATGATCTGAAGGTTGAAGTTGAGGAACCTTTGAAACTGATGATTGATAATAAGTCTGCAATTAATCTTGCCAAGAATCCAGTGTTACATGGAAGAAGCAAGCACATTGATACGAAGTATCACTTTCGAAGTCAAGTGTAAAAAGGAGTGTTAGAAGTTATGCACTGTAGCACTCAGAAGCAGCTGGCAGATATTCTGACAAAGGCAATAAAAACATACCAATTTCTTCGCTTGAGAGATGAAATTGGTGTTGTTAACTTCTGATAGTTACTAAATTACGGGATGGTATTAGAGGGTAATTTAGTATTTGTCATTTGTTGGATATTCTCTTTAGACCCTATGTGGCATTGTTATCTTTATTACTTTTGTGTATAAATAGGTGTACTAGGTTTACATTTAATACAATCAATTCTCTTCAATCATTTGTGGCAGCTCTTAGCATTTATTCCTTTTTCTCTCTTCTTCCTCAATTTCATCACCTTGCACTAACAGTTAGTACATCGAACATCCTATACTCCGTCTCGTGGAAGTTTTGTCTGAAGGGTATCTATCAACACTTATCCTTCAGTCAGTTCAGGTATCTATCAATAATCGTTGCGATGGTGATTACGACTACCTTTGAAACAAAGAAGGGAATGTTATGGAAAGTGTTGGCACTTATAAGTTGAGGTGTAGCAATATTCATGAAACACATATTGAGACATTGTGAAGGATTGAAGTCTTTTGCAAAGACATTCGAAGAATCTTTATTTGAGGGATAAAATCACAGTTTCACACAAAAGTGTATACTACATAGCCATGGTAACAATCAATGAACTAATCAAATACAAATTTTTGGTTTTATCTTATGTGCATGCATGTTTAGATTAATAATGAATCTGCTAAATCAGAGGTTTGAATGTTGTTCTAAGACTTTCATGGATGTAATTGCTACATGAATTGGATTGGTGTTCCTTTATAAAGTGGAGATCATTAAATTTATTATTGTCTCGAAATTATTCGTACCGCAGAGCATGAGGGCATCTGAAAAGGGGGTTGCGTTAATGCAGTTGGATGTATAAGTACCGCAGAGCATGTTGGACGGATGGTAAATATTACCACTTTCTTAAATTATATTTTGATTCATAATATGTTTTATTAATTAAAGTTAATTTTATTATTTAGACCAATACTTTGGGGAGACCTCTATTAATGATTGAGTTGGTTAAAAAGACTCGCATAAAGAAAACCAGAAATTTTGTTGATGAACGTATTCTAAAAGCTTTTGTAAGTAATTTAATTTAAGTTGTTTATATATTTTTATTTAATGACAATTTTGTGTCGTGATTTTCACGTGGCAACTGAGAAGTTGTGACGTGAAAATCATATGGCAATTGAGAGGTCGTGGCATGAAAATGACGTAGTAACTTTTTTAATATAATATAATTTAATTTAATTTAATTTAGTGTAATTTAATATATTTAACTTCATTTTTTATTGAATGTGTAGGAGGATTATCAGACATTGCTCGCAAATTTTTTGATTCATAATCCTCAATATACTCAGAGTGAGGGAGAACCCTTCATTCAGATGCAGATTTTTATATTTGAGATCAAGTCATTAGCGGAAAAGGCCCCAACAGTTGTTTTTTGGTGGTGAAAATTTGGCGGGAACCTTGAGAAATGGGGATAGAAATCTATTTCAAAGAGTTGGAGATGGGGAAGGGGAGTCACGTCAACCAAATTTGACACCAGAACAACTTGAAACAGTAAGAAAGTTGGTCTTAACTGAGGCGAGATACGAGTCAGCGCAACGTGAGGCGACAATGAAAGCCCAAACAGAGACTCAAATAGAGACAATGAGGCAAGAGTAACAACAATAAATGGAGGTCATGGCGAAGAGGAAAGCTGATATGCAGCAGCAAATGAGACAATTTATGTAAGAGTTTGGTGGAAATCAAAACGTTCGTGATCAAGAGTAGGATGATGACGGAAACGAAGATGACTCGTAGAATTATATTTTTTTTATTTTACTTTCAAAATTTGAATCTGTGTAATTTAATTTTTTATATTTAATTAAGAATTTTTAAATTTATAATTTTAGTTTATTAATTTTATTATATTAAATTTAATATATTGAATTTATTATATATTGAATTTATTAATTTAGTTTATTATATATTAAATTTATTATATATCGAATTTATTAATTTAGTTTATTATATATTGAATTTATTAATTAATTTTATTAATTTAATTAATTATAAAAGATAACTAAATTTCAACAAATAAATTTAAAAAAATAAAAGAAAAAGATCAGCGACAAAGTTGTGACATTTAAATCACCTTACATTTTGATTTATTTAATAAAAAATAAAAATTAAAGGTGTATTTTAATAAATTAGTGACATAATTTTCACGTTACAAATTAGTGACATGAAAATCACGTCGCAATATATTTTTTTATATAAAAAAAAATAAAAGTTGAATACAGGAAGAGATGTTAAACGTTATTAAATAGTGACGTGATTTTCACGTCACTAATTTGTGACGTGAAAATCATGTGACAAATATTTTTTTTTTTTCTGACTTTCTATACAAGTATGTTGTGACGTGATTTTCACGTCACAATTTTGTGACATAAAAATCACATCATAAAAGAATTATCATCCATTTTCCAGCCACGTGATTGCTCACGTCGCAAAATAGGAGTTTGACGTGATTTTTCACGTTGTGAAGTGAATTTCACGTCATAAATGAGAATTTATTTTATAGTGTGAGAAGTATTATCTAACCATATCCAAAAGGAAAATTAAATAAAAAAATTAAAGTTGTTAATTTATAACTGTTGCACCGAAACATCAAACCATGTATCAACAAATAGTCTATACTCCTTTAACACAACTGGTAGATATCAATTTAGCTACTTTAGATTGTTCTAAAGGAGTTCTTTCTATGCAAAGTAATTGTTTTCATAGATTTGGTTTATTATGGCTTATGTTTTCTTAAGATTCTTAGTGAGTTAATTTTTTTACACACAAAGAACACGTATGTCTTTATATAATGAAAAAAACAATGTGGTCCACGTGAGAGAGTGGAATCCAACCATCTAATTAATCTTGTTTGAATTTAAAAGTGTCCATATTTGAAAAATATGTGCTCCACATAATTAGTCAAATCAAATGACATTATTAGCATTTAGAATCTTGAGAAAGCATTTCCAATGCCATACTCAACAAGATTATAAATACCTAGGATCCTAGATTATAACATACCATCTCCTATTGCATTTTTCTCTTACACCATAAGAAAAACTTGCTCTCTTAAATATCCTTTTGTTTTCTACCGTTAGTTATGACTACGTTTCTGAATAAGCAAAAATATTTTGTCATTTTTGTTGTATTAATTACTTACCATATTTTCCTTCCAACACAAGCTAGAAAGATAAAACCATCGTTTGAAGGACAAGTAAAAAATCTCAAACCTACCATCCAAGCATTTAAAACCAATGTTAATGCTCCTTCTCCCACATTTGAGAGCAAATTTGATACCTCCTTGATGCCATACAAAATTGTTGCAAGTATCGGAGATTCAAATGGAGACACGGATGCTTTCCGGCCCACAACACCGGGAAGTAGTCCTGGTGTTGGTCACAGAAAATTTGGAGAAGATAAAGATATGAAGGTAGTTGAGAGTCCAAATATTTAAGTTATAACCCTGGTGTTGAACATGTTCACCAATACACAAATGGGCAATTAAATTAGTAATTTTAATAAATAATTTCTTTTGCATAGGTTATAAGAATATGTGTAAGTACAATAGTGTCCTCTTATAATTTAATTATGCATTGCACACTTTAGTGGTAGTCTTGCATGCCAAACTATATGCATGTGCTGTAGGATTGGCTGTTTATGATAACTAGTTATTTATACCATTTAAGATTATGTGAGCATTTGTTATACTTAGTTATAGTAATTGCTGGATTTATGTATAAATCCAATATTCATTAAATAAAATATATTATTAGTAAAAACTATCTCCTGTTTTTAGGTGATACAATGCAGAGAATTATGAAACAATTTTTTTAAACTCGAAAGTAAATCGAAATATCGGAAAATAATTCTCTTCTATGATTATGTTTTTTTCAAGCACTTAAGATGAAGAAAAAACTATGTTCTTTAATTGTGGATTTCTTAACTACTTAAAAAGTGTCAACTATGGTATTTTGGAGTGTGCTATTGAACTAAGAAGTTTATTAAAAAAACAAATAGACTAAGTTTTATTTGAATATTTTAAAACAAACGGCTTGGCATGGATTGATGCCAGGTGAATGGAGAAATGCGGTAGTGACTGAATTAGAAATCTCATTTCAATTTTTGTATAATTTATGACTGCTAGCACATGATAAATTTATTATTTCCTCAAAATCGAAAGAGAAGAAACATGGTAGTAATGTTAGAAAAGGAAAATGTTATAAAAGAAAAATGTTATAGAAATTTTGTAACTCTACTAATATTTTTCTAAATATCTCTAAAATTTTCTTTGGAGTATACTATTGCAGTGCAAATAATAAATGTAGCTTTTATTGTCGGAGTGATTGCTTGATGAATGTTTGAAATGAAAGATAGCATAAAATAAAATTAAACTTTTGGTGTTTTAATAAATAAAACCATTTCTATTGATTTATTCTTATATTGCATTCTTGACCAATAATTTTCAATTATAATCTGATAATAATATTATTGCACGAGGCTCTTATCCCTGCTCATCTATCATTCGTAAATTTAAATAGATAATCTCTCAGCCTATTAAAGAATACGTTAATGTTAATTTTCAATAATGACTGTGGATATCAATGATCGAGCCATCAATTCAACAATAAATTTTGATATTAAATCTTAATCTATGTTTAGACTTTAGCATGCAATAAATGATAAACTTTGATCCGGTAATTACCAGTATCTTTTGAATATCAAGTCATATCATGAAAATAAATTTTAGGTAGCTATTCTAAAATAAGCAATAAGAACAAATAATTCGTCAATATTATAAATTAAAAGGAATTACATATAACTTCATAGTCGGGATCAAAACATAAGGAACAAGACAACTACATCTAACCCCAACAAAAGAGAAAATTAACTATGCTTAGACATCATAGCTTTACAATCAAGCCCTAGAAGAAATAAGTTGAAGAGCATATGTTGATGATTCCTCAGACAATTCTTCCACCCTCGAGTTTCCTCTCCTCTTCTCACTAGCTGTGATTTGTTATTAGAAAGTAATTTCATATAGGAACCACCTCGAATCCACCGAATCCTGATCTCTTTATATGAACTTCCCCTCACTCCTATTTACAGGGTTCGTAAGAATATACTCAATAAGCGCATCTCCCAAGCTCGCTTAGCAATCCAACTCTCTTCTAGGTTAAGACTTGGAAATTCCCCCAGGTCTTACAATCTAACCTTTCTTTCATTGATTAGTTGTCTACTGTTGAACTTGTTTTAAACCCCCTTATGACAAGGACTCTTTAGTCGGTTATGATCATGTGGTACTTATAACAATTTAATGCATGACTACCTTTTTCTCTCGATGTTTGATTTCTTTGGAGCCATATGAAAAATTCATTGAACAAAATATATTTTGAAAACTTGTTTTAGACAGTTTAATGAGCTTTAGCATCACCCTTTCGTTGTTACACGCTAATTTTTCTGATTTGGCGTTTTCTCTCTAGACGATGCTTCAAGATTTCTTAGCGAAATATATTATTCAAAAGTGGTAGTTTTATGAGTTTATCATGAAAAAAATGGTGTTGTCATACATGCATGTTGTGTTTATCTACTTAATGTGAATTTTGGCAACATGCATTGAAGATTTCTACTAAAGATATGTAAATGGGAAAAAAACAAACATAAATACCTTCAATTACATGCAAGAAGAGTGAGAAATGTAACACCTTAGTTCCCCCCTCCCCCCAGCATTATTATAATTAAAATCAGAGTAATATAAAACATTCACACAATTAGGATGTTACTTTTCAACATAAAACTACTCATATCACAGGACATGCAACATATACAACTTTTTAAGATGAATCATAATAATAATTGTAAGAACGAGAATGGTTTTTTATCTATCCTTGAGTTTTAATGATAACTTTATATGGTATCTTAAAGAACAATTGTGTACTCTAATGGTTTCTATCTAGTGTGTAGCTTTTTTAAACAGGTTCTGACTCTGGTAAGAAGGTATGTGACGTCATCAGGTTCTGAACTCAACACTCTGGAAGAATACCTTTGGTGTATTACAAATTGAGTTAAGATTTTGGAATGCTTTTTAAGCAACGGTTCTAAAGAACGTTAGTACAAGAGCTTTTGATCGTGACTTTGCAAGGAAGCTTTGGAGTCCTTCTAAAGCTTTACTTCTATTGTTCCAAGTTCTGAAGATGCTAAAGACAAGGATCTTCGTAACCAGTTCTAAATATCTGAAGACATTCTTCTAAAGACCAAGTGCTGAAGACTTTAAAGGCAAGGGTTCTCTGAACAAGCTCTGAAAGATTCAAAGACTTAGGTTCTGAAGGTGCAAATTCTGATCCTTCTACAACATGCTTCATCAACGTTCAAATTAGAAGACTTTGAAGATATAGAAGATAAAGATTAAGACTAAGGATTGTCTGTTGTAACACCCCAATTATTTATTGAATTATTTTTAATTGATTAATTACTCATTGTGGTGTATTTTTTGCGTTGATGAGCGCTTTGCGGTGATTTATTTGGTGCAATGGATGGTTTGATGATATTCCGCATGGGGTAGTGTCAGATTAAAGTAGTGATGAGAACTATTCTGAATTTAGATAATTTAGTTGGAATTATTTGGATTTTAGAATAATTATTTAGGATTTATTTAATAATTAAATTAGATAGTATAAGTAGATATATTGAGGGCACTATGGTAATGTTGAGTGGAGTAAGTAAGGATAAGAATGTGAATACCATATTAAGGGTCCAAGGGGTAAGAAGGACTTAAAAGAAAAGTTAGAGAGTGAATCGTATTGTTGGAACAATCGTACTCTGAGAAAGGCAGAAGCAGAGAAGTAAGAAGAGCTAGGGAAAATGATGCCATTGTTGAAGCTTAGGAACCGTCAATCTAAGGTAAGGGTGGGGTTCTGATAATATAAGGGGTTATATAATGATAACTATGTGGGGGTTAATTTGTATGTCACAATTGTTTGGGATTTTAGGCTTGTTTGGGGTTTTGTAAATGAATTGATATTGTGATGATTATGTTGAAAATTGTGTTTTATGATGTGCAAAATGCTATTATTTAATACCAATAACCTGTGTGATATTGTGTGCTTGTTGTTGGGTGATTACATGTTATATTTTGATGAAAATAGGATTGTACTGTGATGGAATCATATGCAGTTTTGGAGTAAGACTGATACAGAATCGCAACTGAGAAGTTCTTGTTTCACACGTCTTGGCGAGCGAGCCATGTGCATCGCTGGGCAAAGTTGTTTCACCTGGGCAGCACCGGAAAATGTATGAGGGAGCATGTTTGCCTCATCTTCGCCCAGTGAAAGGAGTGGCGAGCGCGAGTCATCGGGCGAACAAGGAGCGAATGGATGGGTGGAATAACAATGTTACTGGAAAATGTATGGTAGGCATTGGTTTGCCTCTGCTTCACCGGGTGAGACCCAGGCGAAAGATCCCTGTCTCTGGGCGAGCCTCAGGCGAGTAGGGCTGTTTTTATTTTTGTAAAGGTTGTAACTTGAGTTTCCAGACTCTATTTGACGTGTTGTTCGACGTGTTGGGAAGCTAAGGCGATGAGTTATAATTTGGTGGGATCAAATAAGTCTATTGATGTCTATTTTCAGTACTTATAACATGATAGTTATATGTCGTGTGATGAATTCATTGTGATATATATGCTATAATGAATTGACGTTGTTATAATGATACTATATGATTGTGTTGGGCATTATGAATTATATGTTGCTGAGGGAATGATGGTTGTCGTATTGGTGTGTCACATTGATAGATGTAGATATAGATGTGTATTTTTTGTTGCATGGTTGTCTCACATGCATTTCCTATTGGGGGCTTCAGTCATGTTTGTTGGATATGAACCTAGATGGCGTGGGTCGGGGTGGTGTGAACCTCATTGTTCATGATGTGGATTGGCTCTGATCTTAGATGGCTTGGATTGGGAGCAAAGTGAACCAAAATTGTTTGCAATTCTGGTGGCTCTGGTTCTAGATGGCATGGATTCAGGAGCGATATCAATATCACATGCATTGAGTCTGTGAGTCGGTATCATTGCATTACATTGTCATTAACATGATGTTTTAGTTCTGTGTTTTGTGTATGTATTACATAGTAATTGATGTTATGTGTTGATGATCATGTATGACTGGTTAAATAACATGCAATATAAGTGTTGTATTATGTGAAGGTGTGAGAAAAGGAATGTGTGACTATGCATGATTTACTTGCTATATAATTATCATTATGCATTCTCTTATATTGTTGTGATATCTCACCTTTCTGTTAGAGTGATGCTTTATACAATATTATGCAGATAGTCAGGACTAGTCTGAGGCTGCAAGGATCGGGAGAGGTTCCTCTTTGTTTTATTTGGATTTGGCATCATTGCTCTAATATGTGACACTGGGGGGATGAAAGCCTATTTTATTTCATCATCTTTGA